CCCAATCGAGGGATGTGATTAGAGTGAGCCATATATTGTGTTCTTTGTATTTCTAATATCAATTACAGGCACGTCACAAACATATAGATTCGAATTATGATTAAATTGTGACTGTTAACAATTATATACATATTTATTATACATAATGTGTACCAAAATCAAAATCCGGTGTTATTTATTTTTATTTTTTTCTTATTTATTTTGTTATTTCACCAATAATAATAACAATTCTAATAATCTTATAATAGTAATAATAATAATAATTTCTTGGTGTGGACCACAGAGGTAGTTCATCCGAACTAATCTAGTCTGTGGCCCAATTCTAACCAATATACATTTCTATGCAGGCTATATATATATATATATATAGGAAGGTAGTCGATTATTCCAGGTGAGAGTGCTCGATACTAAACGATGAGTTTGTAGAGCAGATTTACATACGTGGACAGAGAAATTAAGACACGACTACATGAGTAAAGTTCACTCTACAGTACTGTTTCGTAAGGTACATGGAGTATCTCACTCATCAGGAGTTAAGACTTTATTAAATAAACCACCGAAACAGACTACGTTATAAGCGCTACACATTTGCATAACAATGGAGTGTGTTTACGATATTAAAACTAGTTGTTGCATAGCAACGATTTGGCTATGTGTCTACAGGAAGAAAAAAGCTCATTTCTTTTATTTAAACTACAGGAATGTGGTTGGAAAATTATAATATATTTCTCTCTAATATATAAGTTGCAACGTTTGCTTGAAGTATTGTATGGTGCAGCACGCGATAACACTCTCCATTTGATGTCGTAATCGATGTTATTGTCTTTTAATGACCAAGCGTATTTACTGAGCTCTGTTGCGTTTCTCAATGATTGGTTGCGTAGCGATGCTGTGTGGTTTCTGTACCGGGTTTTAAATTCATTTCCTGTTAGTCCCACATATGTTTCACACTTGTTGTTGTCTTGCCGTCTGATATTAGCTTGGTAAACCAAGGCCGATTGTAAACAATTTCCGTCTAAGGGGCATTCAGATTTCTTACGGCAGTTACATAATCTGTTGATCTCGGTACTGGGTGTATTGGTGTTGGCCGCTGTAAGCTGTTGTTTGTTTTGATTGCAGATTATTTGCTTCACGCATGGAGCTAAGCTCCATGCTTCACGTTATTCGTACAACTGTAGCTCAATTTGATGGTGTTACGGCTGAAAATTTTCCTGAGTTTGTTTCCCTGTTGGAAACACTTATCAACCAGGGTGAGGAATCTTCTCCCGACGCTGTTAGTGACATTTTTACTGAAGGGAGGGTTAAACCAGAGGATATTGTTACGAGGTCTGTTTGTTCTTCTTCTTTCCGTGGGGGGTTCGAATTTGAGGTGATAATCATATCCACTTTGATTTAGAGCTGTCTGGTAAGGTGGCGCGGCTAGATCAAAGTGTTTTTCGTCTGATGAAAGATATGACAATCGTTTGTTGATTCCTGCCGGTATATTCTTTGTGATGGAGGGTGGGTGGTTGCTCTCTCTATGTACGTATAGTGGGTGGCTGTTGGGTTTAATATATGGATTGTAAGAGCTGTCAGTGAGGTTGAATGTGACGT